AACATTGTTTAACAACACTTTTAACAACACAACATCTCATTTCAAATTTAAACAACACAATCATCATAAAATAATATCTTTTCAACACATGGCACAACATACAACTTTATAGCAACATACAACTTTTCTCTAACAACTTAACAACATAGTCTACTAATAACATCTATATAAATCACACACATCTACACGCTTCACATCGTGCTTCTTACAACTCACAATATTATCATCATGCACTTCACAACTTTCAACTATATCATCTCATCATGTTTCACAACATAAACATGTCCACACATATCATATAGCAACTTTATCAACTTAATTTCAACATGCTTCAACAATATCATAGATCAACACACAACTTGTAAACAACTTCACTATATTCAACTTGCATCTCTTCATTTCACTTTCTACTCATCATACATCTCAATATAATTATACAACTCCATATGAGTTCCTAAACTCACATACAACCAAACAACATACAATCTAGCTTCCCTTACCTAAAGATTGGCTCAAAATAACCAATAACTGAAAAGAAGTAGAATTCCCTTCCAAAGCTCAACCCGAAACTTCAATCCTCCCAAAGCAAGCTTCCTAGTCCAGAGTCCTTCTCTCTAAAACTTCTCTCTAAAAACTTCACTTTTTCCTCAACCACACAACCCCTATTTATAGAAATCTGAAGTGGCCAGAACGGCCCGTTTCAAAACCAGAACGACCAATTCTAGGATCCTTCTTCATGTGTAAAATTCACATGCAGAATGGCCCGTTATGAAATCGGAACGGCCCATTCTGGCACGTCTAGAACGGCCTGTTCTGGAGTTGAATTTAACTCACAATGACCAATTTGGAATGGCCCGTTCCAGTCCAAGATTCATAGACCTATTTAGTAATTTGGAACGGCCCGTTCCAGTTTGAAAATGACCCGTTCTAGGCTAATAAATCACCCTTGTTTTAGTAGTTTGAAACGGCCCGTTCCAATCTAGGAACGCCCCGTTCTAGTCTACTAACTACGTTACATAAAACAAACAGGTTTGGAGTATTTCATGATCAAACATGTTTTTTAAGCTTTTAATTAGATTAATTATTTAATCGACTTCTCTAAACGAATGTTTTTCCTTTGTAGAATTTTTTTACGGTCAATTTGGAGTTTTATAAGATAAAAAGTGTTAATTTTCATGTATAGAGAGATAAGCAACTTGAAAAATAAAATTGACGGTCAGGTTAGAATTCATACAATTCACATTGGTAGTAATAGAGATCAATGAAATCACAATCTTAGAGTTTTTAATCTTGAACCTCAATCACTATTTTAATTTTTGATTTATTGTTTCCTATCACAAACTAAAATTTATTTCTTTAAAAGACCTAAAATCACAATTAAGTGGATAATTGATTTAACCTAATCTCTTATATGAGTGTAAGTGGGTTGGATTGGATTTGAATGAATCTATTATCCAATTCGGTCAAAATTTATCGAATCAAGAACATTAACTTCTTCTTTTGATTAAGTCAGATTAAGTCATAAGTCAAAAAACACAAAACTCATTACATAAATCATATTATTTGTTAAGTATTGAAATATCATAGTCTAGTCAAATTTGTTAAGTATTAAATTGATAAAACTAAAATAAATAATTTAAGAAAATCATAAAAATAAAAACATTTAAATTATAAATGAGCTAAATAAATTATTACTCTTTTTTTTATAACATGTCTGTTCGTAGGGAAATTCATTTATGGACTCTTTTTATTTGAACTAGCAAAAATATTTTTCAATTTAGATATGTACTATTAGATTTTTGTTAAGAACGGAAATGGAGGTTATACAATGAATTCAACATGCATGGATTTCCAAATATTCATTGATAGTTACCTCAAAATAAGTCTTATGTATGCAAATATTTAAATGAATTGAGTGAACAACATAGACATTAACGACATAATTCATAGCTTGTTTCACATAATTGTTGAGTTACAACTTGTAATGATTCTGGAAAGCAAATAAACTATGATAATTACGCTATACTAAACTAAGATAGTCCTATGAAGAAAAAAAAAAGAAGACTAAAGAGTGGCCAAGAAATCATACCCAGCAATCTCGTACATAAGAGCCATATGCACAAGCAATGAGTGCTTGTGAGAGTTCTCAAGTATGATTTTCTGACCCCTCTAAACGAAGTCACACCTCCTATTTATAGGATTTAATGATGGGTGGTTACTATGCTTTGGTTTTGTTTTTGTCCACTTTGATCCCTTTTTGGTGTATGATGAATCCTAAAAATTCCCCTACTGAGACACCAAAAGCACATTTTAATGGGTAGATTTTTAAACCATGTTTCCTCATTCTTTTGAATGATAACTTTAGATGTTGTAAATGATCACCTTTTTGTTTCCAATGACTATATCATCAATATAGACTTGTAAGAATTTACCGATCAAGCCATGGAATATCAAATTCATTACTCTTTGTAACGTAGCAAGTTCAGGCCCAAAAGCCCAATATGGGTGATTCAGTAGCCTAGAACGGGTCGTTCCCAAAATGGAAAGGGTCGTTCCAAACTACTGAATCGACCTATAAAATGTAGTTGAGAACGAGCCGTTCTAGAGGGAGTACGGGGCATTCTGGAGGGAGTACAGGCCGTTCTGGATGGAGAACGGGCCGTTTTGGATGAATCCCAGAACGGGCCGTTCTAGTTTTAGAACGGGCCGTTCTGTATGTGATTTTTGTACGTGGAGAAGGGGTGCAGAACGGGCCGTTCCAGATTCAGAACAGGCCGTTCTGGCCATTCCTGAATGTCTATAAATAGAGTTGGGTGGTTGAAGAGAAATGAAGGTTTTTAGAGAGAAGTTTTAGAGAGAAGAACTCTGGACTAGGAAGCTTGCTTTGGATGGATTGTAGTTCCGGGTTGAGCTTCGGAAAGGGAATTCCGCTTCTTGGCTATTCTGAGTCAATCTTCAGGTAAGGGAAGCTAGATTATAAAGTTGTTGGTCGTATGTGAGTTGGGAACTCATTTGGGTACTTAGGTTGATTAGTATGAGTTGTGTTATGAGATGCATGTTGTAGTTAAGTTGTGAAGTTGTTTACATGTTTATTGTTGAATTATTAATAAGTTGAGAGGTATAAGTTGAAGTAGTTTATAAGCTGTATTAGAATGTATATGGAAAAGTTGCTATGTTGTTTAAAGTTGTTAAAGTTGAGATTGATGACTATAGTTGTTTATTACTGTAAAATTGTTAAGATGCCTATTGTTGTAAAGTTGTTAAGATGCTTATTGTTGTAAAGTTGTTAAGTTGTTTATTGTTGTAAAGTTGTTAAGTTGTTTGTTACTGTAAAGTTGTTAAGTTGCTTATCGTTGTAAAGTTGCTAAGTTGCTTATTGTTGTAAAGTTGTTAAGATGTCTATTGCTATAAAGTTGTTAAGATGCCTATTACTGTAAAGTTGTTAAGATGCCTATTGCTGTAAAGTTGTGTTGTTGAGTTGTAAGCTGATTAAGTTGTGATGAGAAGTTGTTGATCACTAGGACTAGGGGAGATGTTTTCGAAGTTGCTCATCCCATTGTGTGGATTGAGATAGTTGTGGTGATCTGAGAGCCCAATTTGTTGAAAAACCCTCCTTGGGAAGTTGTCCCTTGGAGTGGTTGTTGTGTTGTTCTCCTCTAGGACTTAGTTGATCTCGTGTGTGGGCAAGGTTGAGGCACACATGTACAAAGCGACCACGGTATAGGGGCAAGGTCGAGCTATACCGATTATAAAGCGACCACGGTATAGGGGCAAGGTTAAGCTATACCGATTATAAAGCGACCACGATATAAGGGTCGGGTCGACCTATATCGATTACAAGTGGTCAATTTGAGTAAAGTACGAAGTCGGGAACTTAGTTCCTAACCGAGTACTATACTTCCTTGTTTAAGTGGCAAAGTTTGAGAAACCATTATCGTGCTATGGATTGATATCCAAATTTGTTGTGTTGTCGGTTCGGTAGGACCTAGCCACTTAGACTACTTATCATGTTGTAGGAGATCTCCGAGTCGAAATGCGTGACGACGCATAAGTTGTTATTAGTAGACTGTGTTGTTAAGTTTTTAGAGAAGAGTTGAGCTAACAAGCCGTTGAGTTGATTGTGTTGTTTAAAGTTGAAATGATGTTTAGATGTATAGTTGTTATGTTGCATAAAATAAATTATTATGAGTTGTTTATTGTCTCTAGCTTACTCTTGCATGTTTCCATGTGGTTTGAACTGCGATGATCATACGTTGTATGGGAGCAGGGCAAGGATAGACTGGAGATAGCTGCTAGAGGCCACAGGAGGTGCCTGGAGATGGAAATTTTTTGTAGGCTACATTGTAGTAGCATGTTTTGTTGTATATAACTAGTTGATGTTGGTTGCTTGATTAGCAACTTGTGTTGTAAATATTTTATTCTACTATTATATATATATATATATATATATATATCAGTAGGGTGTAGTGTTGTTCGTAGTGTGATGGCCATGGCGGGTCGTTACACTTTTATGGTATCGGAGCAGTTCGAGTCTAGTGGACACTCTGTGGGAGTGGTCCCTTTAGGCTTTTGTTGCGTTGAACTCTATGTTGTGTTAGATGTTGTGCTGATTTGTGTTGAGTAGTTGAGATGTAGTGTGTTGAATGAGTTGTTCATTTTGTAGAAGATGCTTAGAACATGAACAGATAACCCATGTCATGGAGATGATGGCTATGGTTATGTAACAACAGAAGGCCTACTTTGTTAGGATGGATGTTGAGTGAGCTGCGGCTAGTGTCGCAAGACCAGTTGGGTCACAGGAGAGTCAAGTTTTGGCTGAGTTCAGGAAGTGTAGTCTTCCTTAGTTCAGAGGTGATGCAGATTCAGAGGTGGCTGGCCACTGGATTTGCGAGTTGGAGATGATATTTTCAGTTTTAGGTTGTTCAGAGGAGCAAAAGCTCACCTATGTAGTGTATATGTTGACAGGGGAGACATAGTATTGTTGGAGAGGTACTGGTCAGATGTTGATTGACCGTGGAGTGGTTGTGGACTGGGTGTGGTTCAAGAGGGCCTTCCTCGAGAAGTACTTCCCAGAGAGTGTCAGGCATGCTCGGGAGGCAGAGTTTATGAGATTACAGGAAGGGGGAATGTTGGTGACCGAGTACGCTGTGAAATTTGAGCACTTGGCATGCTTCTACACCCAAGCCACCTCTGAGGCTTGGAAGTGTAGGAAGTTTGTTGAAGGCTTGAAGTATGATTTGAGAAGAGTGGTGGTGCCTATGACCATCACGGAGTTTCCAGCCTTGGTAGAGAAGGTGAAGGTTGTAGAGCGGTTAGAGAGCGTCAGCAAGCCGGCGAAGATTGTTGGTGGGCCAGCTGGGTCCAAGAGTGGTGGTGGTTTTCAGAGGAAGCCTTATGATAGGCCCCAATCACAGCGAGGGGGTCCTGTCACAAGGAAACCTATTGACACAGCTAGGAGTGGGGATTAGAGTGGAGTTGCTACTCTCAGATGTTATAGATGTGGTGGACCTTATTTCATTCGTGATTGCCTCATACCGAGAGCAAGTGCTTTAGGTGTGGCCAGATGGGTCACATGTCGACTAGTTGTCCTGTAGGCACCAGACAGACCAGGAGTGCCCCGAGGGGTGATAGATCTTCTATAGCTAGAAGGGTGTTTGCCTTGACCGGAGTCGAAGCTTCCACTTCATCTGATCTTGTGAAGGGGAAGGGTAAAGATACTGGTAAGGTTGTGATGATGTTATTTGACTCAGAGCCTCCCATTCATTTATTTTATATACATGTGTTGAAAAGTTGGGTTTGCTTGTACGTAATAAGGGGTTGAGATTGCTTGTGCCTGCGTATGCTTCTGTTTCTATTGTTGCCTCTAAGATGTGTGTTGGTTGTCCCTTGGAGATGTGTGATAGGAAGTATAAGGTGAACTTGATTTGTTTGCCTTTAGTGGATATTGACATAATCTTAGGGATAGATTGGTTATCTGCCAATCACATTCTTATAGACTATGCCAATATGGAGTTGGTTTTTCCCTTAGAGGAAGGATGAATTGTTGATTTCAGCTAGCCAAGCTGAAATGATGTTGAGAGATGGAGCAGAGTGTTGTATTCTATTTGCTGTTGTGAGTGTGGAAACTGAGAAGGTGATCAATAGGTAGGAGTTGTGAGGGAATTCCCGAAGGTGTTTTGGATGAGGTACTTGGGTTACCTCCTATTAGGGGGATTGAGTTTAGCATAAATTTGGTCCCTGGTGTAGGGCCAGTGTCGGCTGCTCCCTACAGGGTGGCCCCAACATAGTTGGTTGAATTGAAGTGTCAGGTGGAAGAGTTGAAGAGAAAGATTGACTACTCCCCCCTATGTTGGTGTTGCCTGATCCTAGTGAGCCATTTAAGGTGTATTGTGTTGTTTCTCTCCAAGGATTGGGGTGTGTGTTGATGTAGAATGGGAGAGTAATTGCATATGCTTTAAGGCAATTAAAGAATTATGAGAGGAATTACCCTACTCATGACTTAGAGTTGGCAGCAGTTGTTTTACCTTAAAAGCATGGATGCACTATTTTCATAGTGCAGGATTTAATGTCTTTGGTGATTACAAGAAGTCTGAAGGATTTTCTTGATTAGAAGGAGTTTAACATGAGACAGAGACAGTGGATGGAATGTTTTAAAAGATTATGAATTTCAATTGATGTATCACCTTAGGAAGGCCAATATAGTGGCATACGCTTTGAGTATGAAGTCCATTCACGTGTCTAGTTTGATGGTGAAAGAGTTGGAGTTGGTTGAGAAATTCAGAGATTTGAATCTGTATGAGGAGTTGGCTCAAGACCACATTAGTTATGGCATGATTACCATTGCTAGTGAGTTCTTGTAGCAAGTTGGTATGAAGTAGTTGTAAGATTTGAAAGTTGTGAAGTTTCTTAATTTGTTAGATATAGAGAAAGCAGTTAGCTTGAGATGAGTGAAGATGGGATTTGAGGTTTAAGGGCAGAATTTGCCTACTTTAAGATTCTAAGTATAGAGAGACATTGTTGAATATATGGCGGTCTGTCTGATCTGTCAGAGGGCTAAGGTTGAGCACCAGAAGTCTGGTGGTTTGTTGTTGGTGATGGAGATCCGGTAGTGGAAGTTGGATAATATCACTATGGATTTCATTGATGGGTTGCCTAAGTCGACTAGGAATAGTGATGTTATTTGAGTTGTGGTTGACAGATTGCCCAAGTGTGCACTTTTCTTGCCTGTTAATATCAAGTGGTCCTTGGAGAAGTTGACATAGTTGTATGTGAAGGAAATAGTACAGTTGCACAGGGTGTCTTCTTGTATTATTTCAGATAGGGATCCAAGGTCCACTTCCAGATTTTTGGAAGAGTCTACACCAAGTCTTAGGTATGAGATTGAGGTTGAGTTCTGCTTATCATCCGAAGACGGATGGTCAGTCAGAGAGGACAATTCAGTCCTTGGAGGTTTTGCTGAGATCTTGTGTGTTAGACCACTTGGAAGGTTGGGAGAAAGTCTTATTACTAGTAGAGTTCATGTATAACAGTAGCTTTCATGATAGTATCGGAATTGCACCGTTTGAAGCCCTGTATGGTAAGAGGTGTAGGACTCCTCTGTGTTGGTACCAAGATAGTGAATCAGTGGTTGTGGGGCCAGAGTTAGTCCTACAAACTACTGAGAAAGTAAAGTTGATTCAAGAGAGTATGAAGATTGCCCAGAGTAGATAGAAGTCATATGCTGATAAAAGGCAAAAGCCTTTGAAGTTTGCTGAGGGGGAACATGTGTTTCACGTTCCACAATTGAGGAAGTATGTCCATGACCTGAGTCATGTAGTTGAGATAGGTGAGATTCAGATCAAGGAGAACCTGACTTATGAGAAGAGACCGGTAGTTGTGATTGATTATAAGTTGAAGGAGTTGAGGAGAAAGTCCACTGGATTGGTGAAGATCTTGTGGGATGCAGCTACTGGTGAGACTACTTGGGAGATTGAGCATCCTTCTTTATTTCCAAGTAAGTCTATTTTCGGGGACGAAAATTTCTATTTGTTGGGGGGTATTGTAACGTAGCAAGTTCAAGCCCAAAAGCCCAATATGGGTGATTCAGTAGCCCAGAACGGGTCGTTCCCAAACTGGAATGGGCCGTTCCAAACTACTGAATTGACCTATAAAATGCAGTTGAGAACGGACCGTTCTGGAGGGAGTACGGGGCGTTCTGGAGGGAGTACAGGCTGTTCTGAATGGAGAACGGACCATTCTGGATGAATCCCAGAACGGGCCGTTCTAGTTTCAGAACGGGCCGTTCTGCATGTGATTTTTGAACGTGGAGAAGGGGTGCAGAACGGCCCGTTCCGGATTCGAAACAGGCCGTTCTGGCCATTCCTGAATGTCTATAAATAGAGTTGGGTGGTTGAAGAGAAATGAAGGTTTTTAGATTGAAGTTTTAGAGAGAAGAACTCTGGACTAGGAAGCTTGCTTTGGATGGATTGTAGTTCCGGGTTGAGCTTCAGAAAGGGAATTCTGCTTCTTGGCTATTCTGAGCCAATCTTCAGGTAAGGGAAGCTAGATTGTAAAGTTGTTGGTCGTATGTGAGTTGGGAACTCATTTGGGTACTTAGGTTGATTAGTATGAGTTGTGTTATGAGATGCATGTTGTAGTTAAGTTGTGAAGTTGTTTACATGTTTATTGTTGAATTATTAATAAGTTGAGATGTATAAGTTGAAGTGGTTTATAAGTTGTATTAGAATGTATGTGGAAAAGTTGCTATGTTGTTTAAAGTTGTTAAAGTTGAGATTGATGACTATAGTTGTTTATTGCTGTAAAATTGTTAAGATGCCTATTGTTGTAAAGTTTTTAAGTTGCTTATTGTTGTAAAGTTGTTAAGTTGTTTACTACTGTAAAGTTGTTAAGTTGTTTATTGCTGTAAAGTTGTTAAGTTGCTTATCGTTGTAAAGTTGTTAAGTTGCTTATTGCTATAAAGTTGTTAAGATGCCTATTGCTGTAAAGTTGTTAAGATGCCTATTGCTATAAAGTTGTTAAGATGCCTATTGCTGTAAAGTTTTGTTGTTGAGTTGTAAGCTGATTAAGCTGTGATGATAAGTTGTTGATCACTAGGACTAGGGGAGATGTTTTCGAAGTTGCTCATCCCATTGTGTGGATTGAGATAGTTGTGGTGCTCTAAGAGCCCAATTTGTTGAAAAACCCTCCTTGGGAGATTGTCCCTTGGAGTGGTCGTTGTGTTGTTCTCCTCTAGGACTTAGTTGATCCCGTGTGTGGGCAAGGTCAAGGCACACGTGTACAAAGCGACCATGGTATAGGGGCAAGGTTGAGCTATACCGATTATAAAGCGACCATGGTATAGGGGCAAGGTCGAGCTATACCAATTATAAAGCGACCACGATATAGGGGTCAGGTCGACCTATATCGATTACAAGTGGCCAATTTGTGTAAAGTACGAAGTCAGGAACTTAGTTCCTAACCGAGTACTATACTTCCTTGTTTAAGTGGAAAAGTCTAAGAAACCATTATCGTGTTGTGGATTGATATCCAAATTTGTTGTGTTGTCGGTTCGGTAGGACCTAGCCACTTAGACTACTTATCATGTTGTAGGAGATCTCCGAGTCAAAATGCGTGACGATGCATAAGTTGTTAATGAGTTGATTTGTTGTTGATATGAGTAGTACATACGTTATTGTGTTGTTAAGATGTAATTGTGTTTTATGTTGACCTTGTTGAGGATGATGATAGTGCTGTTATGTTATAAGTTGCTTATTTGTTTACAAGTTGTGTGTTGATCTATGACATTGTTGAAGCTAGTTGAAATTAAGTTGAAAAGGTTGTTGTATGTTATGTGTGGACATGTTTATGTTGTGAAATATGATGAAATGTTGTTATTAGTAGACTGTGTTGTTAAGTTTTTAGAGAAGAGTTGAGCTAACAAGTCGATCGTTGAGTTGATTGTGTTGTTTAAAGTTGAAATGATGTTTAGATGTATAGTTGTTATGTTGCATAAAATAAATTATTATGAGTTGTTTATTGTCTCTAGCTTACCATTGCATGTTTCCATGTGGTTTGGACTGCGATGATCATATGTTGTATGGGAGCAGGGCAGGGATAGACTGGAGATAGCTGCTAGAGGCCACAGGAGGTGCCTGGAGATGGAAATTTTTTTGTAGGCTACATTGTAGTAGCATATTTTGTTGTATATAACTAGTTGATGTTGGTTGCTTGATTAGCAACTTGTGTTGTAAATATTTTATTCTATTATATAATATATATATATATATATATATATATTTCAGTAGGGTGTAGTGTTGTTCGTAGTGTGACGGCCATGGCGGGTCGTTACATTCTTTGATATGTTGCACCTGCATTCTTTAGACCAAATAGCATCACCACCCATTCATAAATTCCTAAATCCCCTGAACATCTAAAAACAGTTTTCGACACATCATTAGTGGTGATATAAATCTATTTATAACCAGAATAC